AAATATAAAATAAACACTTTTTGGTGTTTATTGACTTTTAATTTCAAAATGTTCTAAAATCGAAGTTCCTTTTTGATTAGGTAATATTGGAAACAGTATTATTCGTTACACGAGATAAATATTTTAATTTTGTTATTATTCATTATACTTCTTAGGTAAAGCACATATAATATTATGTGATTATAAATCTTATAAAATATTATATAATAAATTAAATGTTTTGATTTAACTTGAAGAGTTCAAAGTGGCTCAACAGAGATCCATTTACAAGAGAGGTGGGATGGTGTATGAAAAAATATATACTACCTTGATATTACAATAAACATTATGCATGCAACCTTACGACTACACACTACGATTAGAATTCGTAAACAATATTACACTGTCAGAATTTTTTATAACAGATAACATACTTATATATACGTAGACAATGACAAAAAGTTAGAAGTCCCAAGGAATAATATTTTTTTTAATAGGTACCTACAGACTTACTAAAATCGTTATTTTTTCTTTCAATATGTAATTTAACAGACTACAAGTACGTAAATATTTGAAGTTAAACAGCTTGAAAAAAAAATAGTTAGGTACCTACCACTGTAGTAGGTAAAATTATGTATTTTCTATATTGTTTATCTGTTACCTATATGAACAGATTAAAAACCTTGTAAAATTATTAGGATCTTATATTGGATTTTCAAGCTTTTTAATCACAAATAAAATGTTACTAAAATAAGTAGACAATTTCAAATATTTATAAATATTTTTTGAAAAATACATGTCTGCAATTTTTTATTTTTATTTTTCTGATATAAAAACTAAAAAATAGATTTAAAAAAAACACATGTCATTGTAAAGCCAATGCATTCATCGTTCCTATACGAAAGTCTAATTTATTGGTTTTAACGATGATACTATGTGAATTGTGAGAAATTACCACAGATGATGGCACGTTCATGATCTATCCGAACTTCCGAAGTTGTAGCTAGTCGTCGTTGTAGGTACCTACATCAATAGTAGGTACCGTGGTTTCTCATTTAAATTATTTTAGAATTAAAAAACAAAATATGTATACACAAATTGAGTTTTTATTTATAAAATATTGTTGTAAATTGTCACTAAAATAACTTTTTTTTACCAGAAAATAATTTGTACGAAATTAAAACAATACTGAAGACGAAAATTCACAATCGGAACAACGTATAATAAACATATTACATATTGAATATTTCCTGGACAACGAAAACAACGCATATTAGGTTTGTGTAGGTAGCCAATTCGTTTTATTTCCTAAAATAATATAATAAAATGCATAGGTATATTATGTTTTTTTTATTTTTTTTATTACCTAATAATTTATTAATACGCCTCAACTGCTATAGGTCAATGAAGTTTCTAAAATTTACATTACAATTATAGTTTTCAAAAGCTCCGGGAAAAACAACATAAAAATTAAGGAAAAACTGGAATTTTTACTGGTTTTTGAGAAAATCAATTTTGGGTTTTTGGTGTAATTTTAAAACAAATGAAGGGTATATACATGAAATTTTCAGTGGTTGTTTATATTTGTATTTTTTATACACGATAAAATTTTCAAAATATTCAGTTTTGTTTTGAACTGTTTAGGAAAATTTCAGTTTCCAATTTTATTAGGTAGTCTTTTTTTCTATGAATGTAAATAAAACTTTATTTGTTGGGTAGAAAAACTTAAAAATTTAATACAAGGCTCCTCATAAGTTTGTTTATCTTTATAAAAAAAAAAATGTCTACAAGCAAATCAAATTAAACTTTTATGAGTTCATACTTTTCCAATATTGGATATCCACTCGATTTCTCATGTGGCGGTTTTGTTATTTTATTGTTATTCAAAAACGAATAACTGTAAATACATGACAATGTCAATGGATGTTTATATTTTCATTTTCTATAGGTACATCATAAAGTTTTGTAAATTTTTTGACTCTTTTTCAGCTGTTTACGGACATGTCCGTTTTCAATTTTCTTAGTTTTTTTTTCTATAAATATCAAAAAAATTTTATTTGTTTGGTAAAAAGCGTTAAAATTTAATGCAAGGCTCCTGATATATTGTTACAATAGCAGTTGAAAAATATTAAAAATACATAGGCACAATTTTTTTTATATAAGCATTTAAAGTTCAAATTTTGACAAAATTTAATAATTATTTTGTAGTTAAAAATTCATAAAATGTTCAACTTTTATAGCTAAGGATTGAAAATTTTAAACAAGGGTCCACGTAAATAGGTACCTACCTAAATATATAAATTACTTTATTCAGAATAATATCATCAAATATACTTAGTAATATCATAGGTTGACTGACTGTTTTCGCTCAGAATCGTTTTTCCTACCTATACAATAATATTTTATTATTGAATTCAAATTTAACACCATTCACTAGTGACCCACTTGTAACCTTCTGTACAGCAGAGCGACACCCACTTACCCACCTTTTTTTTTCTGGCTTTAACATTAGCGAAATTGTTAATTATTTTTTCACTATCTAGTTCATCAGTTCTACTTCTTTCTTTATTGAGAAATGAGAATAGCAATATTACTAAGTTTATTTTGAGACATTCAGTTTCTTAAATAATTTTGAATGGGTTTCAGTTTTGAAAATGACCTCTCAGCCTAGACCACAGTTACCATAAGGCATAAACGTAGGAAATATTAAACATGCAGTTCACACATCTGGAAAACTACAAGCCATGCCATTTTGAATAATGACATTTATGAAGTCTCTGATATCACATTGTTCTGGACCAATTCTTATATTAGTTTATTTAAGTATGGGCCCCATATTAGAAATTGGAACGTGGGGCCCCGGTGCAATGAACCGCCAACACCACGGTTTCTACAGTACTGGGACCCAGAGGTTTCACATCCCACCAGGGTTTAGCTTACACGTTTTTCATAAGCAATAATTAAAAAAATATTAAGTGTCGCATAATAATATAGTTTTTCCATGATATAATATTTTATTCAAGCAATTTTATAATTTAAAATAATATACATTGTAGATAAAGTAAATTATAATATACTCACAAGTACATACTATATTAATTATAATATGTCTAGGGGTAAATATACATACACATACAAAACACATATATATATATTATATGTATAAATAATAAATTGTACCTTTGTATTGTTCATAAAAAACAAACCACTCAAACATGAAATTGTTTTTTGCATTACGTCTAAACACATTACATTTACATATTAGGTATTATAAGTACCTTTTTTTTTTTTTTTTTTTTCCTGTTTTAACCGACGACGCCGCGGGATCTGCTTTCGCATTGCTTCCGCGGCGCCGCCATCGTTTATTGACGGTATCAAATTAATATATACATGGGAGGCAGACGGGACAGCTCCCCGACTTACCCCGTTCAAGCATTTTAAATTTTGCATTAACAATTAGGACTTCTTCCTGACCTTCTCGGGCCGACCGGAGTCCGCCGCCCTTGAATTCGCGTGCCTGTCATCCGATTGGCGAGCCGACCGGAGTCCACCGCTCTGGATGTTTCGTTCTCCATCAGGGCGGTCGCACGTTCCCCTGTGCCCTTAGCAGGGCCTGTTCCTCGCGTTCGTCTTTTTCCTTGGTCGACAGAATCGTCTCGACCATGCGGATGAACTCCATGCGGTTAGTTTCGAACTGTCTGATAATTCTCCTTCGGGCTTGGCCGTCTTCCGGCAAGTCATGTGACAGGGGACCACACAGGATTTCCTCAACGTCGCCCGCGTTCGGAGGTCGCCTCATAATCTCAGTCATTCGAACGCGGTCAGGTATTATAAGTACCTACTGGAGTATTATTATACTTTATACTAGTAATTTATATAGCAATAAATAATTCAAATAATTAGTAATAAGGTTACATTATTGTATTTACTTTTTAATTTCGACATATAATTTAAAGTTATTAATTTTAATAACACTATGTTTACAGAATAACATAATTTGAGAAACTATCAGAAAACAATATAATATATTTGTATTAAAGTACATAAGTACTTAAACTAATATTAATGCAATAATATTAATTTATTTGGTAAAAAAGAAAACAATAAAATATTTATAAAAACACTTTACATGATAAATTTATGAAAAACAAAAATAGAAATATGCATATATATTATTATTTGTTTGTTTTAACTTATAAGTAAATAATAGTTGTGTGCTTTAAAATAAAAGCTATGTTAATGGTTTATTAAAAAAATTTAAAACAAACATAAATTAACTGTTTATTATTAATAATTATCAACAGCAAAACATCATATGATCAGTCTCAATTTTTAAGTACATTTAATATATTCAGATAAGACATATATGATTGATAATTGAATAATAAAAAAAATATATATATATCGAATAAATGTTTGAAATAATAAAATATTGTCTTATGGAAAATAAAACAATTATCACAAAATATAATTTTATATAATATGTAAGTTAATGTACAGCAAAATTATAAACAAAAATTATAATATACTAAAATCAAAATGATATGGAATAGAAATAATAAATATTGAAAAATTTGATACTTCTAGAGTGGTCTATGTGAAAAAAAACAGACATTTAAAACATCATATAAATCATAATGTTATACTTAGTCAGCAAATTAAAATTAACTTTATGTGAAAGTAATTTACATTTTGAAATGCTGGCATGTTCTTGACTATCTATGTAAATCAGCCAAATATTAACTGTGTTAAAAATTATTTCATTATTTGGAATGATAACTTGGAAAACAATAATTCCCCCACATAAAATATAATGATAATTTTCAGTCCTTACATTACTACAATTACAAATATCTATAAATAGATTAATTAAATAAATACATCACATAAGATAATTATAATTCGTACATCTTAGTTTCATAAACGTACACACAACAGCAATTATATAACTCAATTTATTTAACATGAAAATATTCTGTTGGACTAACAAAACGAATCCAGTATTTGATGAAATTGCATACCTAAGTTGGTCTCTAAGAATACTTTTTTTCTGATAGTTTGGAAGCTTGAGCAAGTTGAAACACGTAGATGCTGAAGGAAGTCTAAGATTTGGATCTTTTTTACGAATAGTGAAGAATCCTCGAATAACACTAACTATAAATAAGAAAAAAAATTTAAACTATGAATAGAACAAACATAACTTTTAAGTAGATGTAATTGTGTTTACCAAGTGTGTCACCAAAATCGTCATCGTCTGCTACTTGAACACATCTTATGGAAAATGGAGGCTCCAAGTATGCAAATCCAAGTAAAGGTGGTTTTGAACAACTTGTTACAAACTGCAAGTTAAATATTTAAAACATTTATTTTCGTTTCCATTTTTATAAATGTACCACATACTTTCAGGAAAAGTGATCTTTCTTTTTCTGTGAAGTCTTTTTGAAGAACTTCCCACAACCACAGAATCACACGATGTGAGTCATGAAATCCTCCATAATATTGTGTGGTTCTTCTGAGATCAAGCAAATCAATAGGAGTGTTGTCTCCAGATATTAGTTTTTGAAGCTAATAATAAAAATTTAATTATTAAAATTAAAGAATTTTAATAAATGATAAATTGTTACTTCTGGAGTAGAAAATAATGATAACCATTCAGGATTTATTACATATTTAAACCCTTTGATAAAAGCTGCTGTTTGTGCTTTGATCTGAGTATGCATTACATAATGTGCCATTAAATGCACATAATTAATCCTGAAATCATTAATTTAAAATTTAAATAATAAATATTATGGTTCGTTATAGTTTATAACTTAATTATAGTTTGTGATTAAATTATTATGCTACATTTTCTTTGTTAAAATGTTAAAAATAGTTAAACATAATATTATTTAACTTATCTGAGGATTATAAATAATTCACTACCAATCTATTTAATTACACTGCTGCTTTTCTACAATTGTATATTATTTAGTAAATTTTATATTAGGTTTATAAAACATTTAACGTTTTTGAAAATATTAAATAAACTATTTATCCAAAACCATAGTATACCTAACTTATAGTATTTATCAAATAAATCTGAATATTAATTAGTGATGGGTCAAACCTGGATTTTCGAAACTGAACTGAACTTTAATTTGAAATTTTCATCATACCGAGTTTCAAATTTTGAACCAAACGGAACGTCAATGGTTCGGTTTGGTTCAAGATTTGAACAGTTTGGCACATCACTAATATTAATATTGATAATACTATTAATTATTAAACATGTTTATTATAAAATAATTCAAACAAATAATAAATAATAATATTACTTGTTTTGATTAGTAACTGATATGACTCTTCCACCGGGTATAAGATCATGAGTAGTTAATTCACCAAGGTGATTATCAACTACTGAAAAAATCAAATCTAAATCTGAAACATCGCCCTCATGATGTTTAACAGATGTTAAATTTCTATACAATTCATTGTCTAATGACGGCAACTCATCCATTGAACTATATAGTAGCTCTTGAGTTTGACCTAATAATTGACTTAAAAAGAATGATGCAAATGGAACGTCAACAACAATACCCTATGAATAATAAAATTAATTCCATTTTAATAAATTAAAAAACTAAAATAGACGGTTTAAAATAATTACCTCATAAACAGCTTTACCCAATATGCGACCAACAAATTCAAATAAGTTCAAATGGTTTTCTTGAATATGAGATGAAGGCAATGGATATAACCTTTGTTCATCTGTAGTACGAAATAAATTTAATGATGGATCAAATACTCTTTTTATAGTTTCTTCAAGAAATTCTGTAAATATAATTTGTTAATATCTATAACATTGAATATCAAGTTTATGAAAACAGACCTTTAAATACACCATCTTGATCAATTCCTGCTTCATCTAATCCCTGTTCATTTATGAATTTTACTCTAATTACACCTTTGAAACGTTTCAGTGGCAATTCAGAGACGTATGTATAACCATCTTCAATTATTAGATTCCTATGCATGTTTGTAAAATATTTTAATTAAATTTTTTAATTACTTCATTAAATTAATTTTACCTCCGTATTGTAATTATTGGTGGCATGAAATTTTCATTATCATGTAATTCATGTACACCCAAAGCAAACTTTTCACGAGAAACATATTTTCTAAATAATCGAACACGTGTTTCATGAGAAACTATATGAGGGATTTCTTGAATTAAAATCTAAATACAAAATGTAATTATTAATAGTTATTTAAATAAATTAAAATTAAAAAAAATTCAATACCGAGTATATTTTACGACCCTTTTTAAGTTCATTAAAAAATGAAGAAGTTTTAAGATCACCAATCAGCCAGTGTCCTGCAGGTGCAAATGATCTACGACAATCCCTGCGATAAAGTACCATTAAAAGAGTGCGACAAGATCGAAACAAGCTATATGATGAAGAAGTTATATCTTGAATATCTAAGATATCCAAAACAACAAAATATACATTTTTATAAAATACACATTTGTTAAAAATAAAAATAAAAACAATTTCTCACTAAATAAATTCTGAGATATTCCTTTATAAAGAAATATGTTCAAAAAACTAGACATTAAAATGTAGTCACGCATCACAAATGGTTTTTGTTGCTCGTACATTTCTATATCATCAAGAATACTAAAATAAATAATAAATATTAATGTTCTTAATTTCATGAATCAATTATTGTTCTAACAAATAACTTACGTTATGTAATGTGACATACTATCACAGAATAGTTGTAACATGCGCAATTCTCCTGAATTGCAATTTTTATCACATTCTAAAATATCCAATAGGTTCTTAAGACCACAATGAGAATCTAAAAATGCCAAAAATCCATAATAAATACAATGTGTCCTCGTGATAACATAAACCTAAAATAAGAAAATAGTTATTAATTTAAATTTTTAAAAAATTATTGAACAATATGTTTACCAGTTATTATGTCCAGTCTAAGTTGTGTGATTGTCTTAAGGCATGTAAAATATAAGTTGCAAGCAGCAACTACCTTTGTACCATGAACTCCAGTAAGTTTATAACTTGATTGACTGGTACTGGATAGTCTCAAATCAAATGCTTTTCTATTAGGAATAATAATTTTTATTTAAGATTTTTTTATAATTATTCTAATAGTAAAAAAGTTACTTGATTATTGCTATAGGGTTATTTGTTTTAGGAGGAGGTGATGGTACTTGTTGATTTTCGGGTATTTGTGCTAAAGCATTAATTAGATGACACCGAAGTAACTTGGAACATAAAGTTCCACACCATAATGGAATTAATTGATTTTTCAAAGGTGGTATATTAGGAGAACATTGACAATTTGAATTTGCTGTGAACCAACCAAGTTCAGGATGCCAAACGCAAGATACATTTGAATGTTTTTTCACTACATTTACTCTAATAGTATCCAAAAATGTTGTTAAGCCAACCTGAAAAAAAAATTATTGATTTATCTCAACTTATTTAAATTGGTACTGGTCTAGTTGACCCCGTTATGAAAGTATTCCTCCGCCACTCGAGAATAGTTTACGCCCGCCACATACATCTCTATATACTGCATATATCTGCGTTAGGTATTTGTGTGAAATTCACTTATATTTTAAGAATAATATTTGGTAAAATCTGTTAGTAAAATTAATGATATAAGATAGGTAGGTAATAGGTATAACAGCAAGTATCGTACCTATATAATATTATGGAGTACCTATCTCAGTTATTCAGTCGTCATTAACACTGAAATATATATATATTATACTGAAAATACCGTAGTTCTAAAACAAAAAAAAATGAATTACCGACAAATAGTTTTCATACCTTTTTGTTTACATTTAAGTAAGTGGCACTAACCAAACCTGAGTGGAGGGGAATACTTTCTAGGCGGGGGTCAGATCAGTATCTAAAAATTATTATGACTTTATTTTAAAATAATTGATGGACATTAGGTATCTTTTATGACATTAATTAATTCTTATTTATAATCTATTTTTAGTAACATGGTTACGGCATATATAACTATAGTTGACACTTGACATTAATGTATTCAATTAAATTGGGTAAAATAATTTTCTGATTTATGATACCTATTTATAATTAAAATAGCAACATACAAACATAAACAATGTTATTGACTTTAATTTTATAATAGGTCAGTCTGATATAATTGGTAATAACTAGGGCTCAGGACTTGTTGCACTAAAAATTATCGAAATATGCAGTTGACATTGCCAAAATATGTTTAAATTTATGCAGCTAAATTTCAAAATTATTTTTTCAAAATGCATAAGACAAATAACATATTACAATTTCGGAAATAAAAATCTCAAAAATAAGTAGGTACATAAACATTATAAAAATAATTTATACAGGGATTTACTAATTCAAACATAAATTGATTTCTAAATGTACACTATTGCATGCATGTTTTGGGAATTTTTAAACTATTGTGAAATAAAACATTTTATAATTTGTTTTTATTCTAAATAATTTTATCGGCTTCTTAATGACTTGAAAGTTTAATTAAAACCAACTTTTGATTTTTAAATGGTAACACATAATCATTGTTATTTGTAAAAATTAATATTAAACAGTTAATTTATTAATGACAATTTTTTAAATATTTAGAAATATGATTTCATATTGATTTAATAATTAAAATATAATTTAATTGGCTACTTTAATGAGCCCATTAATTTTAATTTTGGGAGCCGCCAATGTATGAAGCAAACCACATTGTTTAGATATGTTTATAAAATGGATTATAAAATAAAGCCACATTTTAAATTTTATAGCAAATGAAGGAACATTTATTTATTTATAGAAATAACTTAGAGCCACATACAACTGACTTAACTGGCTCGCAAGCCTTGTTATGGCCACCCCTGCCATATATAATAGTTGGTTGGGACTTGAAAATGTATTTAAATTATTAAATACATTATTGAATTGATATACACATGAACTGGTTTCATGAAAAAAATAATGTTTGAAACTTACAATAAAAACAGATGTAGAATTATTTTCAAATTTATCTGTTTCTGCGCATAATTCAGCTAAATGCACAATGTTTGCAATTAATGACAAAGACCAACTTGGATGTAAAGAATGAAATATTTCATCACATTGATTTTGATCATTTAATAACTGCATTATCTTCTCAAGTAGATTAACAGAATTAAATGTTTCAATAATCTAAAATATATATTATTGAATACAATGTTATGATCTTTTAAAACTATAGAATACCATTAGTTTTTAGCATTAAAATAAAGAATTATATAAAATACTAAAATACTCACTTTAGGCGAGAGAGATATCAAATGCTCTACCAATAAAGGTATAGAATAAATCTTTATTACAAATAGTTGGACAATTTTAGTTGAAAAGTTGCTCAAAACTAAACATCTCCAGCAAATAGTCATTATAGCTGTCATAGCTACAGGTTTTAATAAGATTTTAATGCCCGATAAACCAGTTATTAGCAATGTCTGAAAAAAAATTAATTTGGTAATAAATTCACAAATTAAAATGCATTTAATTTGAATACCTGCATAGTGTTAAACACATTTTTATTCAATAAATGTGCAATCAAATTTTCTGTTAAACGCTCTAATCCAGGTTTTAATCCTTGCAAAGAAATATTTGAATGTATGGCAGACCATCTTGATGTTGATGTAAAAGATACAATCATGTGAAGTAAGGTGTGTAAAAAAGAAGAATCTTCTAATGATTTGGGCTGAAGTTTAGTAAGATAAATTAGGCAAATAGACAGAATTTCTTTGACATGACTTATCCAGTTAACTGCATGCTCACTAGTCAAAGCTACAGATATGTAGCTACGTTTGATTGCATCACATTCCAGACTAAGAATTATATATCTAAAATGTTAAAAAATAAATTTATTAAACTATAGCTCAGTTAATAAAGCTACATAACCTAAATACAATATTATCAGTGGTGAATATTGACTCTAATGTATGGGCATGCTCATCTATCATAATTTATTATAGTTTTATTTAATTTATAATTAATAAATTATACACTAATTTGTATTTATTTATTTAATTTAATAATTTTAATTAAGATTTGACTAACTCTTCTCAATTCTTTTTGCTTTTTCAACAAACTTTTTTGTTATCATCTACTTTAGAGTAAAATCAGGGCTCATTTTTAAATCTTCTAATACTTTTTTTTCAATTGATAATATTTCAAGAGAAGATAGTCTTGACATTTAAGCAGACCTACAATATGTTTTAATTCTTTTGAGTGCTGAAAATGTTCTTTCGCTGATGCTGTTGTACTTGGAATAGTTGCAATTAATTTAGCTAGTTTATATGCTTCTTTCAGCCCTAAGTCTAATTTATTTGAATTTATGTATTTGATTATTTCAAAAATTGGTTTAACTTTAAATTCTGCTGAACTGTACAAAATATATAACTCATATTTTAACCGGAAAATATCAAAACATCATTCAGTTTCTACGATAGCCATGATATACTTATTATAGTACTAAACACAACACAATATTAAAAAATAGCAAAACAAAATAAAGAACAATTGTCAAATACTCGTACTCGTAAATTATATTATAAAATTCATTGACAAAGTGCAACTGACTGAACATGCTCTAGGTGGTTAGTATCGAGGTCTGGAAATAACCGGTATTTCGCACCAATAATAAGCATCGTGTAACTTGAGCACACAGCTATCGCATGTTCTGTTAATAAAGGTTACGATAAAGTTAAACACAGAGAGTATAACAGAAATAGATGACATTCATGTCGTACATTATGATTTTTTTAATACGTAATATCATATTGATGACAACATAATTTTTGTATTCTTATTAATTACTTAATTCCTGAGCATGCCTGGAGAATTCGCCACTGAATATTATATATTTATATATGTAACTTATACTAGAACTTGAAAGAAATTAAAAATGTCTTAAGGCGGGTTTCCACTATACACGTTTGCCGTGTACACGAAAAATGTTCAGCTATGTCCAACAACACGGTATCATGGTTAACTGTGTGGTAACTGATCGTAAACAACCAATCACAGCAAATGATTTGTATGCACGTACTCTCATCCGTGTATAGTGGAAACCCGCCTTTAAGATCTATTATACATATTGTAATATTGTAGACATAATTTATTGTATAGAAGCTGTAAAATGTGTAAAATAAATATAAAAATGTGTATGAGTGGAATCAGTCAAATTGTTAACTCCAATAATTAATATAAGTTAAATATGTATCTAACCTGCAGAGTTTTTCAAATCTTTGTCTATCTCTCTTTTCATCCCAATAAGTCAAAAATTTTTTCACAGATAAATAAACAGTAATAGCAGGTTTCAAATCATTGATATTCTCAAACGTTTCATCAAATTGTTGCCTAAAAAATATAAACATATAAAAAACCAAATAAATCATGATAGTTGATGATTTTTATATAAAAATGAGAAAACGCCAAAACTGACAGGATTAAGTTTCGAGTGCGTTTGCGAACTAGCCATCCTCTGATCCAAGATTGAACGAGGATAGCAGATTGCTCACGTTTACGATCATTTGCTCTTTCTACTCTTGCAGCTCTTGTTTGTTCTATGAACTGCATTTTAGAATGCTCACCAAACATCATTCTGATGAAATAAAGGCACAAAAATACATGATTTCGTTAATTATTTATGCAATTGACTTTAATAAATAAGTAATAACTTACTTAATTAGATATATTATATGCTCATATTTTGTTTCAAAACTTGTAATCAAAAAACGAAGATCGGAACAATCAAATCGTTTATACTTTCATAACAAAAGTTGTATCAAGTACTAATGTTAATTAATTGTGCGTATTTTACATTTTAACTCATTCACGCCTTTTTGTAAATTAGCCCATATCCTTATTGTGTCTCTGGGTACAGATGGTATATTTCTTTTAAAAAAAAAAAAAAAAAAAAAAATAAGCAACACTTACTTTATTAAGATTGATATACTTTTGAAATCAAAATTATTTTCATTTCCAATAAATAAAACATCACTATTACAATTGTCAATTTGATATCTCAACAGGATATGTAGAAATACATTCAACGGATGACTTAGTGATATCTTCATTTTCAAATAAATATTTATCGTCATAATTTCTAAAAAAATAATAATTAGTTTATTAAAAAAACATAATCAATTACTAATAAAAAGTTGTATACAATTATGTTACATTAAAATTGTTTAATACAAAATTAAAAATTAATTATCAAAAAAATAAACTGAAATTAGTTCAAGTTATTTTTTGATTAAAGGGATGGGAAAAAATACAAAGCCAGACAGAGTACTGTAAAGCAGTGGTATATGAAATTGTATTACCTTGACGTGGGCCGAACTTTTGAAATATAATTAACTAGCATAGTATTGATTGAAATTTGATGTTTAACCTTAAATCAATTTTATAATTTATTTACCTACAATCAAAGCAATTATTCTATAATACAGACAAATTGTATGTATAAAAAAATAACTATCACAAGAAATGGTCCCAATACTTGAAAAAATAAAGAAACAATGGGTGGAGAATGGTGATATATCTGCATCGTTCATCCAATTGAATATATGACAACATTGTACTATATAAGATAATATGATAAAAAGAACAGTTTACTTACTTCATAAAATCTGTCGTACATACTACATATATTATCAGAATTATTCTGAACACCTTTATTTTGTATAATAACATTTTCATCATTTATACCACTGCTAGAAATCTCATTATTTTGCTCTTCATCATATTCTACCTAAAAAGAATTACAAAAAAATAAAATTATATTAATAAAATACTATAATCATATTATGAAATATAGCTTATGGTACCCTCCTTTGCGAACAAGAAAGTGTGTCTGGATGGTATACTAACTTGTGTTTATTTACATGATGCAATCATCGAATTACTTTAGAGTTTGACTCTATTCAGTCAGGCTGCATGCCATAGGGACGTAATGGCAAAGAAGACGAATCCTTTGGTAAATTACTTGTACTGCTTTTAACAGCACCTAATGTATTATATTTTTTAGATAAATTGATCAATTTCGCTGACTGGGTTCTTCTATGCCGGGCCTCCATAGCAATTAACCAAAACAATAATCCTTGAACAACAATAAAACAAACGACGTAACATTAAGCAATGATATATTGACTTGGATATATTAGATTAATAGAAATATGTATCAATATAAAATATAATCATTACATACTTATCTAAGACTGTGGAAGTCGGAAGTATTCTTGTAAATATATTTTTAATTAGATTCTGTCTAAATTACTGAAGTAATAACCAGTAACCACGCTAATAAGTAATAACTAAACTCTAAAACACGGACTAAGATATCTTAGTTCGTGCTCTAAAGTAATAAGTAAGCAATTTCACATTATCACATCAACAAAAACATTCAAACAAAATAATATTCAAATTTATAAATACCGTGCTTATCAGTTATCACTAAGATAGTAATAATTGTTATCAAATGAATAACAACAACATAATATCATTTTAATGTTGGCCGACTTTAATTGAATCATTTGAATCATTCGATTAGGTGTTTTAAATTTGAACGGAAATAGTAAATACAGACTACTATACGTTCGTACAGTATTGTATTCATACGTTTTAGTAAAAAGTTGCCATGCATAAGTGTATTCTTTTTAGTAAGACATCCAAAGTATCGCCTCGCCACATTATCTAAATTTTCATTTGTAAGTATTATTTTCTAGTTGTACTGTTAATATTTCTTAATAATATGGTGCCAGTCTAATTTGTTCACAAATATAGATTTCCAAAAAATGAAAATAGAAGGAAATAAATTTTCAAATTATATGATTACCCAATATCTATCTGGAACAGAATCTGCGGTAATCATTTCACAATCAGTAATTATACACAAGGCTCAGTATATAGTAGATATTATTATGGCCAGAGGCTGTCAAAAAACATAATCCAAACCTCATGTCTGTTTAGAGGTGTAAAATAAACAATATAAAATAAATTTTAATAATTTACAGCAACACTGGTACCACTCTGAGTACGACTTGTAAATCATCTAAGAGGTAAAATCTTTTAATAATTAATATTGAATTATTTTAATATTAATTATGTAGGTATTCAGATATTTTTTACAACTTAATATTTTCAGAAAATTACAACTATGAGTTTGAAGAAAATGAACAGACAAATAAAGGATTTGGAGACGTTACAGTCGATGATTTTAATTCACTCAGAAAAGCCTTAGAAACTTAATAATGTCTAATTCACACACACTTATATAAGTATATTACTCAAGTTCCGATTTTAAATGTTTGCCAAAGCCAAAAGTTACTTAATGGTTTATCGTTTTTAGTTCATACAGTGGATTATACTTATTATGGTTTCCAAAACTGAAATATATGATGTACCACATACAAGAAACTATTAAGTCGAGCCAATGTGTTGACAATTTTCAGATGTTGACTTTCTTGAAGATAATTATATATATTCCATATTGGAGCGAGTTATAAAACTTAAAGGTGAGAATATTGTTTATAAGTTTTTATTTTAAAGCTATTTTACTAACTAACGTACCCACCTGTACACGGGACACATTGTATAATATCTAATTGTGTGCGTGGACATAAATTTGTATATCGAAAGGGCTCAGTAAATAATTATATCTTACAATATTAAAATATCCATAACTTGTTTTAAAAATAAAATACAAATAAATGCTTAGTGCTTCTCTATAAGAGGTACCTTGAAAAATATATTTGCTTTTAAGTTTGATTATAATATTATGCCATATAACTCTAATATTAAAGCTAACAGTACAAAACTGGATCTACTGTACTCACACTTGCATGTTGCTCGTTATTCAAAGAGAGAAACAAATGGTGCACTGACATATTTTTAACAGAGTTTTAATTTTTTAGGCAATACAATTTTGCTGAGAAACAACCCAATTTCAATAATACAAAGGGCCTCAACATATTTAAATTGCAAAGAAACACATAACTAGTTTGGACTTCAGTATATTTTAGAACTCGTCACTATTGATCTGATTGTTATGACAATTGGATCTGTATTTTGGGTCATTGCGATTAAGTGGCAAGTTGATACAAAATAAAGTTCTATTGAAGTGTGTGAACATCTAAAATCTCATATAGGTACAAACTAATAAGTTGTACACCTTAATTATTGGCATAGGTTAATATGAATTGTTTATTAATATTACATTTATTTTTAACTAAATTTTCACAGTCAGTTGAGAAATACCTACTAGAGAATACATATATATTAATGATTTATTCTTCAAGGTACATGATTATAATATTAAATAAATAGAAGAAACTAATATCCAAAATAATGTATTATATTTTAGAAAATTGGGTCGTGAATATGGGTCTATATTATTTTGTACTCCTGGTATTTTACTTCAACATATCCAAAGAGATTCAGCTTTAAATTATTACTCACATATTATCATTGATGAAATACATGAACGTGACACCATTAGTGATTTTACACTAACTATTCTCGAGAGCATCATACCTGTTGTAATTACATGCATATTATGTTTCTTGCTATCGTAGTATTTTATTTAAATTGTACTAATTTTTTTTTTTTTGTATTGGTAATCCAGAGACCTCAATTAAAGTTATATTAATGCTGCAGCATTTTCCAAGTATTACAATGACTGTCCATCTTTGAATATACACGGATTCACATATCTAGTTGAAGAAATTTTCCTTTGAAGACATTTATACATTAAATAGGTTTGTTAAATTTTTTTATCATTGCTAATATCTAATCATTTAATTTATTTCTGCTGAATACAGGTTTAGATATTTTCCTAAAAAACCAACACAAAGATCTCGCAAAATTAAACCGGGTGATCTATTCACTGAATTTGGAATTCCTTATGTAAAGTGAGTATGCATGTAAAAGATATATTAAGATATATTTACGTACATATTGTTAACAAATAATCAAATGACAAAATCTTTTGTAGTGAAATAAAGAGATTCCAAAAATATCCTTTTGCAATATTGAATTGGTTGGAAAATCCAATGTCTGAAGATACAGAATACGAATTGATTTTAGAACTCATATATTACATTTATAACAATAAAGATGATGGTGTAATACTTGTGTTTCTTTTTGGATGGGATCAAATATAAAAACTGACTAAAATTTTAAAAGACTAACGCTTTGGAAATACATTTAAAGTATATTGTATAAATGTAGAATCTCATAAAAATGTTGATATCTGTTTATAAATATAATTTTTTATTTTGTAGCTCGGTACATACTGATTCCTTTGCATTCCATGTTACCTACTGTATCTCAAAAATCTGATTTTGAATTGCTGCCTCGGAGTAAGCATTAAATATAAAAATTCTTTAAATGCATTGTTGTCTAATGTTAGCATTATAATAGGTGTTTGTAAGATCATATTATCCACAAACATAGCAGAGACTTCAGTTACCACAGACGAAGTAGTTTATATTATTAATAATGGCTGGATGAAATTAAAAGGATTCGATGCAGAAAATAACATTGGACCTCTTAATGAAGAATGGGTGAGCTTAGCTGAGCTAATCTTAGATTTAAAAAGAAAAATTTTTACGAATTCTTAACTCAAAATAATTTGCTAATTTTCGTGATTTTTCCATATTTTGTCAATTTTTGAACTTTAAAAGCTTATAAAAAAAAACTATGATTAACGATTTTTAATATTTTTCATCTGCCTTTGAAACAATATACTAGGAGCCTTCTATTA